ACTCGAGGCTGTTCGTATATTTCTGGCTTATGCAGCTCACAAAGACTTTGATGTTTATCAAATGGACGTGAAGTGTGCATTTTTAAATGGAGAGCTTGAAGAAACAGTTTACGTGGAACAACCCCCAGGTTTTTTTAAACAAGAACATCTTGATCATGTTTATATTTTAGATAAGGCAGTTTATGGATTAAAACAAGCACCACGAGCATGAGAATTCGAAGATCCGATGAAACTAAGTTCGAAATGAGCATGATGGGAAAAATCAATAATTTTCTTGGACTGAATATTCGTCAAAGCAGAGAAGGAATTTTTATTAATCAAGAAAAATATACGAAGAATCTGCTAGAGAAGTTTGGATTGACGAATAGCACAAAGTTACGAGTTCCTATGGCAACTGGCATAAAGTTGACACCTTGGTTAGATAAACCTGCAGTTGAACTAACTCTTTACAGAAGCATGATTGGTTCATTACTTTATCTTACAGCTAGTAGACCTGATATCATGTTCTCTGTGTGTAATTGTGCTAGGTATCAGTCAAATCCACGAGAACCACATCTCACTGCTGTAAAGAATATCTTTCGTTATCTTAAGGGAACAATTTCGTTAGGATTGTGGTATCCGTCGAAAACTAGGTTCTTTGTACAAGCTTATTCAGATGCAGACTTGGGTGGTTGTAATCTTGAAAGAAAAAGCACAAGTGGCGGATGTCAATTTCTCGTTGGCAAATTGGTGAGCTGGCAGTCGAAAAAGCAAACATGTGTATCAATTTCAACTGCTGAAGCAGAATATGTGGCTGCTGCTGCTTCACATCACAATTTATATGGATCCAAAGTCAATTGGTGATTATGCAATTAATATGAAAAAGATTCCATTATATTGTGATTCTCAAAGTGCAATAAGAATTTGTCATAATCCTGTGCAGCATTCGAAGACTAAACATATAGCTCTTCGTTATCATTTCATCAAGGATCACGTGGAGGATGGAAATATTGAAGTACATTTCGTGAAAACAACTGATCAGTTAGCTGATATTTTCACGAAACCTTTAGATGAAAAATCCTTTGTAAAAATTTTAGAAGGACTTAGAATGATCGATGGAAATGGTTGTTCCATGCGAAAAAGAAGAATGATGGTTGACCAGGAATGATTCAGAGGCACTGAATAAAAGACAAAGTAATGTCATTCAGCGTTCAGAGGTTACTGTCCATAGTCAACGCTTCGACCCCTTCGAATTCGTAGATTTATTACTTTTCAAGGGTTGATAAAATTTTGTGTATTTGCAACAAGTACATTTCGTTTGTCACTTATTTTTGATAAATCAAACATACAAAAAGATTTTCGTTTGTTTCGTCATTTAATTTTCGAAAAATTCAAAAATACAAAAAGATTTTTGTTTATTTTGTCATTTAATTTTTGAAAATTAAAACTCCAAAAATATTTTTCTTTGTTTTGTCATTTTATTTTCGGAAATTTAAAAATTCCACAAATATTTTCGTTTGTTCTGTCTTTATTTTCGAAAAATCAAAAACATCAAAAAGATTTTCTCTTTATTTCGTTCTTTATTTTCGAAAAATCAAAACAACAAAAATATTTTGTTTCTTATTTCTTTTTAGTACTTTGTTGCAGATATTCATGATGATTCACAGTGGATAATGCTTGCAGTTCCAGGGTCAGGTAAGTCTATCATACGAATCTTTAAATTTTTGAATATTCTGAACTAGTTAAGTTGTCCCTAGAAGCATGCTGCAGCATGTTGTCCAAAGCCTCCATTGACTCAATGTGTGTGTACGAAAGCCTTAATGAAATATTTCATACGAAAATTTCTTCCCAATCAGGCTTGTATTCACATTAGTCTCCTGAGCTACCTGACTCTTCTCACATTTGAGTTAAGAGTTTACTGTTTTGTCCAAATATAACAGAGGTACATTTCGTGTCTTTCATCCATCTTTTTCATCCAAAAAAGTTCTTACACGATCACACACGAAGACATATATCCGAGAGGTCTCTGATCCCACCAATCGAGACTTAGACATATCAAAAATCTGTGTTCATGATCTGACATCATGAGACCGTGATGAAAGTGAAACCCAATTTTCTAAACTTTTAAGGAATTAACGGGGAACTATGTTCCAGATTTTCATGAAACCTTTGTTTCAGTACCCAAATTCGAAACTCTAAATCATATTCATTTCGTATGAGTGGTCTTGATCAAACATTCAAAGCCCATAATGTTTGTTACCCAACAAGATCCAACACAAATGTTTTCATGAATATGATTTCCATGTGAGTTTCATTCGAAATCCAAAGTCGCTTAAAATTTTTCAAAGCAAACTTGTCACTGACTACACTGGTCAAACAAGTAATTTTTGTTACAATTTATCACCTTATGTTTAGGTTGATATGTAACGAAATTTTTATAGCTACCCATGAAACCTTATAAAAGAAGCCCTTCGATACTTCTCTTCAAGTATTCAACTGTATTTCACGGGAACATACACAAGCTGTTGATCATCTCTCTTGGTGATTAACGAGGCAATCCTTGCCCGGGGTTTTATCTGCCTTCGTGTCAAATTGATATTTTGACATCACAAAATCCCAAAATTTTCTTATTATTGCTTCTTGTCTAAATTCTTTGGAACACTGCACTCACGAAATCCTTGAGGTTTTGAGTAATACCAACTCAGGTTGATGATTTCAAACATCTGGCATATGACTTCGCTTTTCATCCCAAAAGTGAAAGAGCCTTTCCTCCATCCGAAGGATGCTGACGGTTACTATTCCTTGACGAGACACGAACAGACTGTGGGAGGAGACGTTTCCTTGTTTCAAGGAGATGTGACAGTTACTTTTTAACACTTGGAAATTTTTTGGCAGACTAATGCGACTTTTAAGGTGCTACGTCGGATATCATTAATTGCACATCCCGCTTCAAATTCAAATTCTAGGGTTACATATAAAAGGGGATTCAAGGGTTTATTATCTGTTTACGCGTTCAAAGGAAAAATTCCCAATTCTCTCTGATCTTCAAATCTTTCAAACCCTAACAATGGCGACTTCTGTTCATGTCGATGTTGACCCTTCTCAAACCACTGAAGATGTGACTTCATTACCGATTATGAAGATTCAAGGAACTAACTATCAATTGGATGCCAATGTTTCTCAATACCCTAAAGAATTGAAAATGTTAGTTGTTGCTTTAAAGTGTTCTGTTTTGGCAAAGGCTATGTTCAGTTCGTTTTCAGTTCCGATGTCATGGTTTTCTCAAGAAAAATCAACGACTACATACAACAAAGCTTTTGATGCCATTACTTTTAATTTGGTTAATGACAAAAAGGTCAGATTATCCAAGAAACTCTTTTGCCAAATTCTTGAAATTCCAAATTCACCACCGTATGTTGATTTCATTCCCTCAAATTGTCCAAATGTTCAATGAGATGGGTTATCAACCACAACTAACTAAGATCAGTGAGTTTAAGAAATCTGGTCTTCCTACTATCTAGAATTTTCTATTTGGTATTTTTCTGAGATGTTTAACTGGTAGAACTGTTGGTCTCGATAAAGGACGAACGGAGGTATATGCCATGGTTGCTGGGCTATACTACGACCTTCAAGTGGATTATTCTACACAGTTATGGAAGGAATTTCAAAAGAGTGTAGAACACACGGATGCTCTTCATGGTATTTCATGTGCGAGGTACTGGAGCTTGATTTTACAATATTTTTACAACAAGGAGGGGATTTTGGTACCTAATGATGAAGAAAAAGCTGTTTTTCAGACACACCACTGTCCGAAGGATGTCACAGATAATGTTGAAGATTTTCCCTTTGTAGCTCGTATCCCTGATGCTATGCTAAAACGAGTTGATCCTACGAATTCAGTCTTGGTGGCTTATTTGAAAAACATTGATTCTACTGTAGAAACTGGGAAATTATTGCCAAGAGAAGAGAAGAAATCCAAGCGTTCGAAGAAGAATGAAACTGGTTCTTTTGAAACGAAAGTCCAGGAATTGAAATTTACGAAATCTTCAAAGAAGAAGCCAATTACAATTGAAGAGCCAGTGGTACACGAAGTGTCTGTTGCTGAGACTAAATCGATTGAGCCTGTTGTTGAAGATACTCAAGTGAAAGTAGTCATTCCTTCGAAGACCAGTATTTTTCGAAGAATCAAAATGACGTCTAAGCATATACGCAAGTATCCAACACCTAACATGGTACGAAAACCTCAGGTTACTCATCAAGGTGTCTTAATTCGTCAAGTACCAGCACCTGTTTCTCGATCGTCAAAGAAACGAAGGGAAGAGGATATGGCCAAACATCTTTCACAGAAGAAGAAGAAGAAGAAGAATAAGAAGAAGAAGAAAAAGACACGAAAGCTTATGCTCTCCACTGAGTCCACAGAAGATGAAGATGAACGAAGTCCTGAAACACCAGAAGTAACTATACACAAAGAAAGTTCAACTCCTGAGCAGACAATAGTCATACCACCCGAAGATTCATTTGCCACATCAGTTTCTGAGGAGGTACGAAACTCAGGCATCACTGCAAACGTATCTGATACGGATGCAAATGTCAATATGGGTGAAGGAGATTCGATGAAAGAAGATCAAGGTCATACTACTTCTATTGCCTTCGAAAATATTGTTTCTTTACCTCCACCAATCACTCCGATTACTTCAACCACTGATTCACCTACATTCGAAAATATCATCAATCAACCCTTTACTTCCATTTTTTCTTCTCAATCTACTGATCCACCTAAAATTAATTCGCCTATTCAAGAAACCATTCGTATGGAAACAGAAACTGAAAACGAGGGTTTTGGAGGTATGTTTGATCAATTAGAATTTGATGACGAAGAAGAAGATTTCCCAGATCATATGCTGATGACGATGAAGTAGTTTGAAATTTTGAATAAGAAATTGAATTTCATAATTCAATCTCAAGCTGATCTGGGGGGTGATTCATCGGTTTCGAGTTTGGAAGTTGATACGATGTTTCAAATGTTCGAAGCTAAGATAGTGAGTAAAGTCTCTGGGATGGTTAGAGACTCGGAGTCGAGAATTTTGGAGAAGGTTGATCATATTGATCAAAACAATGAGCTACGAATAAATTCTCAAAATTCGAAGTTTATAGGAGATTTGAAAGATTTGAAGACAGTTGCAAAGGAAAAACATGTTATCTTTGTTCAGGATGTTAAGAAAGTCAGGGAGGATGTTAATTTGCAGATTCGTGAACTTCGCGAAGATATGCAAAAGGAGCTTGCTAGTGTCCAACAGGATTTTGCGTCTCTGGGTCAGAAGATTGACATTATTTGCGATGCTGTCACGAAATTGTTGGGTTTTACTATACTACAACATCCTATGGTGCACATACAACCCTAAATACCTTGGATCTATGTTTTCTCTTTTATACATGCAAATGGTTTCCAAGGCATTAAACCTATAACTAGCATGCATTTGACATAAACCATATAATATACTAGTTAGGGAAACATATCTTTTATGTGGCTTGAAGTCTTGATGTATTTGGCCTTAAGAGCTTAGCACCAATAGTATGAAATGCCTCAAATGGAATCACAACACACCTAGGACAAAGGTGGCTCTTGAGAGAGAATTCCATGCACCAAAACACCTCCATATTTCTCTAAGAAAAGAAGTGGTGATTTTGGCTATGGAGTAACCTATTTATATGTAGGATTCCAAGGGTCATGGGTATAACCCATAATCCATACCCATGGGTTTTATGATCCATGGTTCATGTGGCCCAACTCTTTATGTATCCATACATAAACTTGGTCCAACATGGATCATAAGCCCAACACATATAAATATAACTAATTATCATAATTAGTCCCCATAGATTTAATTAGTCTCTTTTGATCACTAAATTAATTCCAAATTAATTCTTGATCGATACTAATTAAAACATATGATTTCATATTAATATATTATAACTTATAATATATTAATAAACCATAAATAACCTTCTCTCAAAAGTCCATCCTAACAAATTGTTCTGATGATATGCAACCCAAATGGACCATGCTACTCTCGGGTCAAGTACATACCAATAATAGTTATGGGCTTAGACATCTAATCCAACAGTCTCCCACTTGGATAAGTCTAAAACTATTATTGCAAGTACGACTTCATAACCCGACTAGCAATCGTAGCTCTTAAAGCCGCTGTCGAACTCTGAACAAATCAATGACGCGTCCATTAGATAAGGGATCATATATTCCTCCATTCTAGATATCATATGGACTGAGACATGGATTATAATCATTCTCTCTGTCCATTTGTTGTTTCCCGATTTTCGATTTATGAGGACTGACTGATTGAACAAATCAAATCAGTCCTGGCTTGGCCAAGCACTCACATGTGTCATCGCTAAATCATCGAGGGGCCCACATATATCGCTTTTATCCCGAAGGTAAAAGGAATGGATAAACTTCGACTCATATGGCTTGTTCTACTACTTGTTGAATCATACACAAAGGCACGTTTTATAACATCGAGTTACCAAATGCGTTTTTGTGCAATCAATATATAACCAACTCATAGTAACAACTCATATCTCTAGGTTTGAAGAATATAAGATATTATCATCTCATGATCACTCGTGATAAAATCCATGAAGTGATTCAAATGAGTGCGGGTTGAATCCAATACTCAGAACTTATGAACACTCATGAGTGTTGTAGCACCACTTTGTCCACCAACTTGGACCTCTACAAACCAACCCATGACAGTCTTGATTCATATCTACTTCCAACATATGACCGACTGTGGATGGTTTGAATAACTTAATCATTCAGGAAGAGCGACTTAGTTATTCTGGAAGTCAAAACATGCAAAGTGAAACACAAGAATAAATGAATCAAATATGGTATCAAACCCTATGAATATAAATAAACACTTTTATTTATCACCATACTGATTACTCATTATTCATTGTTTCGGTTTTATCAACTTTATACTTGAATTAAAAACACTAGTTGTCCCATGCTCCAAGCATGTACACTATGTTTTTCTTAAACAATAGCTTTGCCATACACCAAGTATGCACTCTATGTTTGTCTATGATCCTTACTTTGTGAAATAAACCAATTGAACATAATTTCAATGATTCTAATTTCACACTCCCAAATCCTTATCGAAAAATGTGAGAATTTCAAATTCCTATCATTTATCGAAATCTGTTTAGATTTTAAACTTATATGCACTGACCCTCCTGTAATGAATATGTACAAAGTCACAAAGACTTGTCAACAGTCATTATAAGGTATTCCAATGGAGATCAACTCCATGGAAACTAAGTCTCATATTCAAAGTACATTGCTTTGGACATGCTTCTTGCATTAAGTTTTCTAATCTTACACAGATAACTTCCACCTATGGAGACAACTCCATATTCTCATTTTGACTATCACTTCTGAATAAGAGATGCCTCTTTTCAGAATATGTCAATATGGTCCTTCCAAAATTAGCACTATACTTCCAACTGTCCCTGAGCAACCAATCTTTGGTAAACCTCAGATTGTCCTCGACAATTGCTTAATCATTTTAGTCATATCCAATTCTAGACCTTTTCCCTTCTTAATGCCTCTGGGCATTTGGAAAAATTTAGAAATGACAAATATTATAGCACATGTAATCGATCCTGTACCCAAAGCAAATGGTACACGATTCATGATGTCTCACATAAAGACATGATTCTAGACCAGTCTTTTGCTACAATATTTTTATTTGCCATGTTTTCAAAATTTGACTATGAAGAGGGATGTCGTAATCATAATCGAATTTTGAGAACGCAATATATAGAATTTCCTTAAGTTGAACCAATCCAACATGAAATTCATATATATATTCTTGACTAAAGATGATTAAGGTCTCAATCTAAGCCTTTAGAACTGAAATGAAGTATATCCTCTCCCTTAATTCTAGCAAAACAACTTTTTCAATCCCTGCAGCCTCACGAATTGAAACTTTTGTTTTCTATAACTAACATTGCTAACTTGCAACACTAACAATAATTATCATGCTACCACTAACATGATGATTATTAGCATAACACTTATGCTCCCACTAGCTTTGACATGTACTCAGAAATCAGCTGGACTTCTAGAAATCAATACTTTATTGAATTTCTTACCAAAGTTCAGATTTCTGATACGAGATGCTTTGATAAAACTTTATCAAAATCATACACCTTTCCTTAGATAGCATGCATGTGTGTCTAAACAATTTCAGAACTATGAAAAGGGATGCCGTAATCATAATCTCAATTGTTTAGACCTTTTTCCATCTGCTTCAAATATAATAGAAAACAACCCATGGCTCTGATACCACTGTTGGGTTTTAGTATACTACAACATCCTATGGTGCACATACAACCCTAAATACCTTGGATCTATGTTTTCTCTATTATACATGCAAATGGTTTCCAAGGCATTAAACCTATAACTAGCATGCATTTGACATAAACCATATAATATACTAGTTAGGGAAAGATACCTTTTATGTGGCTTGAAGTCTTGATGTATTTGGCCTTAAGAGCTTAGCACCAATAGTATGAAATGCCTCAAATGGAATCACAACACACCTAGGACAAAGGTGGCTCTTGAGAGAGAATTCCATGCACCAAAACACCTCCATATTTCTCTAAGAAAAGAAGTGGTGATTTTGGCTATGGAGTAACCTATTTATATGTAGGATTCCAAGGGTCATGGGTATAACCCATAATCCATACCCATGGGTTTTATGATCCATGGTTCATGTGGTCCAACTCTTTATGTATCCATACATAAACTTGGTCCAACATGGATCATAAGCCCAACACATATAAATATAACTAATTATCATAATTAGTCCCCATAGATTTAATTAGTCTCTTTTGATCACTAAATTAATTCCAAATTAATTCTTGATCGATACTAATTAAAAACATATGATTTGATATTAATATATTATAACTTATAATATATTAATAAACCATAAATAACCTTCTCTCAAAAGTCCATCCTAACAAATTGTCCTGATGATATGCAACCCAAATGGACCATGCTACTCTCGGGTCAAGTACATACCAATAATAGTTATGGGTTTAGACATCTAATCCAACAGAAATTTGTCAAGTTGTACGAAAGTTTGAGTCCTCAACTTACTTAAGTTTCTACAATGGACAGTAAAAACTTTGTGGAAGTGATTACGTTACTGAAGGAGTTAAAAGATCTATCTGTCAAGCCAGTTTCATCTTCTCTGATTACTCCAGAATTCTTATCTCAGAATTTCATACAATTCGAAGCGATTTTACACAAGCAACTGGCCCCTCTTTCTCGTATATCAAGCATTCTACCAACAACAGATGCCCACCTGTTTTTTACAGGGGTGCAAGGGGGAGAAAGAAAAGTTGAAGATACGAAGGCTGGTGGTGAAGATGCGAAGGTTGTGGGAAAGGTATTTTCTTTGAAGATCCCATCAACGAAGGCAATTGTAGCATCTGCTGGGCCGGTTACTTCAACAGTTGTAACAACTATGCCAATTACAAGACCAATTTCGAAAGGAATTGTGATTGGTAAATCTACTGATACTGGTGGGAGTGGTTAGAAAACAAAAGAGGTAATAGATAATTCGGTTTTGAAAGATAAAGGGAAAACGATAGTTGTGGAAAAGTCGAAAGAAGAAAAGAAAGTTGAAGCAGAAGCTAAAATTGAAAGGCTAAGGTTGATTCAAAGCATAATGACTCAACGTGCGAGTGATCCTAAGGGTATGGACAAAGGTGATCCGTCCAAACACTACAGTTACGAAACAATTGAAGCCAAGGTTTCATATAATCATATGTATTCGTTTGAGAAGAAACCAAAGCAGAGTTACATGGTTACGAATACTGATACAAGTCAGCTTGACTTTCCAATGAATGAGATGATGTTCATCATGCCACAAATTAAAGCAGAAGGAAATTTCAAAGAAAAGGATGATGGTACTCACATGAAAATTAGATTTCATGCTGTTCTTGCAAAAGCCCCTGAGGAAGTTTGGTCTTTGGTGAAAATCAAGAAAGTTATCAATATGAAAAAGGATGTGGTATTCGAAAACACAGTCCAAAATATCAAGTATGTGGTGGCCAGGGCAAATGGAAGTATTTGTGAATTTACAATTGCAGATTTTCCATTAATGAACTTGTATGATCTTATACAAGTTGCATTGATTCTGAAAGACAAATCTTTTTCATATCTTCAAAACACTGAACCTGATGAATTTAAGCTTGGGGTTGCTCACATCAAGATTTTCATCGAAAATTATTATGAGTGCTTGGCTCTAACTGATGTGGAGTTAGCTACAGCTAAAGGTATGGAAATAAAAGCTCCAATGGCACCTAC